CTATTCTATTCTATTCTATTCTATTCTATTCTATTCTATTCTATTCTTCTGTTAACCAAGACAGCCCCACAACATCCAGAGCCTTAAGGAAATCCAGGCGAATCTCATTCACCCCCGAATCCCCGGCCACCGTGGAACTTTTGAACTACTTTGGCAACTTCAACCATAGCTGAGGTCACTGAGGTAGTTTAAAAGCTCCACGACCCAGATGCAGCAAAACAGGTCCAAACCATGATACTGCCACCACCATGTTTCACAGATGGGATAAGAACCTTATTCAGGAATGCAGTGCTTTCTTTTCTCCAAGCATAACTCTTTCATTTAAACCAAAAAGTTTTATTTTGGTCTCATCCGTCCACAAAACATTCTTCCAACAGCCTTCTGGCTTGTCCACGTGATCTTTAGCAAACTGCAGACGAGCAGCAATGTTCTTTTTAGAGAGCAGTAGCTTCTCCTTCAACCCAGCCATGACACCATTGTTGTTCAGTGTTCTCCTGATGGTGGACTCATGAACATCAACATTAATGTGAGAGAGGCCTTCAGTTGTTAGAAGTTACCCTGGGCTCCTTTGTGACCTCGCTGATTATTCCACACCTTGCTCTTGGAGTGATCTTTGTTTGTCCACCACTCCTGGGGAGGGAACAATGGTCTTTAATTTCCTCCATTTGTACACGATCTGTGTGACTGTGGATTGGTGGAGTCCAAACTCTTTACAGATGTTTTGTAACATTTTCCAGCCTGATGAGCATCAACAACTCCTTTTCTGAGCTCCTCAGAAATCTCCTTTGTTCCTGCCATGATCCACTTCCACAAACATGTTGTGAAGAGCAGACTTTGATAGATCCTGTTCTTTAAATCAAACAGGGTGCCAACTCACACCTGATCGACATCCCATTGATTGAAAACACCGGACTCTAATTGCACCTTCAAATTAACTGATAACCCTAGAGGTTCACATGCGTTTACCACTCACATATGTGTAATATTGGATCTCTTTATCTACTTTTAGGACTTGGGTGAAAATCTGATGATATTCTAGGTCTTATTTATGCTGAAATATAGAAAATTCTAAAATGTTCACAAACTTTCAATCACCACTGTATTAGTGCTTGAAATGAGTATTTGAGTGGACTCAATTACCACCAGTGTCCTTTAAAGCGACTGAGGTACAGCCATTTTTGTGTTTCCTAAGGTCAGAAGACAGTGGCATCCATCTTGAATTGAGTTGGCTCTAAAACTTAATCATTTATAGATGCACATCCAAATATTCAATTCTGAGAGATTTATAAAATTCTTTGAGAGGTTCACGAGATATTTTGCTAACAAACAGACAAATACACATAGGCAGGCAGAAACCATCCGTCTTTTGGTGGCAGGCTAAAACCCGTAAGAGCTGAGAAAGCGGAGGAGGACTTTGCTTTAGAAACTCTCTGAAACCTGTAAACTATCACTAAGTGTCCTGCGAGGAGTGAGTGTTCAATGTACCGCTGGTTGAAGGGCGGCGGCTCCTGTAACAACCGCACCGTGTTGAGACTGATTTCTGCGATGGCGAGAAAGCTGAAGAAAAACAAACTATTAAAAAGTGATGGTGACTCTAAGGACTGTGGTCCAGTTGGTCTACTTACAGGTTTCTGAGGAAGGTCTGAGTCCTGCAGCACCATTGACTTTGACTGACTCAGGCGGTCTCCAGAACTCTGAGAGGGCTTGATCCTCATGTGAACGGGTCCTTGTTCTGCTGCGCCAGACTGAGGAGGCTGACCCAGCTGCACATGTTTAACAGCATTCTGCAGGTTTGTAATTCTGAAGAGAAACAATTGTTGGAAAGATTTGGGCAAAACTGTCGATAAATGCTCTGGTACTGGACTGTTGTCCTGAATCGCTCTAAGGCCTGGGAAGGAAAAGTTTGATGATAAATGAGTTTGACTCCACCTGTTTAGAGTCATTTTGTTTCTTTCAAACTTTCACTGCATCAAAAATTCCTCTGTACTTTTTAATGTGATTGTAAATATTGACACAATCCTGAGTTTGCACTCCGCACACTCACTGAAACTCACTGAGATGGTGTTTTATAAACTTTATTACTGTTTGCTGTTTTTAATTTGAAGGTCTTGCCTTTCCATTTAGTTTCTCCTGGACACAGCTGGATGTTTGTTCATTGTTTTATGCCCTTTACAGCCTTTATCTGTGAGGTTCACAACTGATGAGTTTCTTTAGAGTCCTGCTCTTAGAATTATCAAGAGTCTTGAATTGTCAAGTGTGTGTGTATTTTGTACAGACCACAAGATGCAGGCTACACTACTTTTAGGGTTAACCTCAGTCGTCTACAGTTTCCATCCATCTATCTATCTATCTATCTATCCATCTATCCATCCATCCATCCATCCATCCATCCATCCATCCATCCATCCATCCATCCATCCATCCCTTCCTTCCTTTTTGGGTTGTGAGGGTCACTGGTGCCCATATGCAACAGTCACAGTGCCAGAGAAATGGGACACCTGGACAGTTCTCCAGTCCATCACAGGGACACAGAGAGACAATTGAGACAACAGCCAATCTCTCTCATTCACACCTAGGGACAGTTAAGTTACCAGCAAGCCTAACATGCATGTTTGTGTTCCGTGAGAGGAAACCGAAGTACCCGGAGCACGCAGCATGGAGAGAACATGCAAACTCCACCCACAAAGGTCCCTGGCCAGGATTCGATATGGCAACCTTCTCACTGAGAGGCAACAGCTCTACCAACTGAGCCACTGTGCAGCAAATATTAAAAATGTCAACATGTTTTGGGTATCATTGCATTTTAAAGTATGACACTGCCTAAGTTTAAATTTCAGTATTTTTGTTGTTGTTGTTGCGATAAGGCGCATTGTTCCATTTCCTGTTTTCTCTGCTGGTTTGAGTAATTTGTTTGCTCTAGGAGTCTTGAGTTTTTCTGGATTTATCTATCTTCTGCACAGTCTAACATTCTAGTACACAAATACCCTCAGCAGCCTACAGTTGTTTTTCTACTGTTGGATTGTGCTCGAGGCTCCTTTTGTCTTTCAACACGTCTTGGTTTTCAACAATGTATCTGGGATCTACTAGCTCTTGCTAGCATTAGCTTAGCATGGCTTCTGGTTCTCTCCTGGCTTCCTTTTTATCACTTGATCTGTGTGTCAGATGTTTAGTTAGTCCTCTGCCTCCTTTAGCGATAATGATACTTGTAATGAATGTAGTATATAGTTTTGGAGGAGAGGCTGTCTGAACTGGAAGCTCAGTACCATGCTGGTTAAAAACCACTCCTTAGCTAGCTAGCCAGGTTCTCGTGGGTATGTGTGGAGCCACTGAGACTAGCTCTCGTTAGCGGTCCTCCAACAGACCTCGAGCAGCCGGGACCAAGGCCAGCTGGGTGATGGTCTGGAGTAAGCATAGTGCTAAGGCTAAGCCCCCAGTTCACCACCAACCTGTTCATGTTTCAAATCGATTTTCGTCAGTGACGCACCTACTGAGAAGCAGACCCTTGTAATTGGCAGCTCCATAGTCCAAAATGTGGCACTAGGGACTTCAGTGACCATAGTCAAATGGATTCCAGTGGCCAAAGCATTCAACATATGGTGATTGTTATTCATGTTTATGGTAATGACACCCGGTTTGCCAATCTGAGGTCAAAAAAATTAATGTTGCTTCAGTGTATAACATCACAAAAACCATGTCAGACCACAGTTTTCTCTGGTCCCCTCTCCAACCTAATCAACGACGACATAATTATTTGTATGTCGCGGTTCATCCACTGGCTGTCCAGGTGGTGTCCTGAAAACAACGTAGGCTACAAAGACAATCGGAGTGCTTTTTGGGAAAAACCTGGTCTGATTCGGAGGGATGGCATCCATCCCTCTTTGGGTAGAGCCATTTTTCTTTCTATAAATTTGACTGATTTTCTCAGTCCTTCAAATGATTAACAAGCAGGGTCCAGTCCAGGAAGCAGAGTTGTAGTCTTACACACCTCTCTGCTTCTTCTCCTCTGTTACCCACCCAAACCCCCATTGAAACAGTGCCAGGTCACCCACGGCTCCAATAAAATGAACAAAAAATCAGCTCTAAAAATATAAATTATGAAAATAATTAAAATAAACATAGTTACTTTACCAGAACAAAAGAATACAATTTTTAAATGTGGATTATTGGACATCAGATCTCTTTCCTCTAAATCCTTGTTAGTTAATGATTTGATAACTGATCATCATATTGATTTATTTTGTCCGACAGAAACCTGGCTGCAAAAGGAGGATTTTGTTAGTATAAATGAATCCACTTCTGCTAATTATTGAAATTTTCATGTTCCTAGAACAACAGGTCGAGGTGGAGTATAGCTCATTCTCATCACCACACTCTTGATCTGCTTCTGACATATGGCATAGAGCATGACTACACAGTCACAGAGTAAATTTCATCTTAGCAGGTGCTTATCAAAAAATGCTATAACCAAATTTAAAGATTTGTTTCCATCATTTTCCTCTGTCTTGCAGAGTAATACATCAGAGAGAAGTGACTTAGATCGTCTGGTTGATCATTTTACAACTTCTTTGCAAACTTCACTCAATAAGCTGCTCTGCCGAAAAAGAAAGTAATCAATCAGAGATTATCTCCTTAGTTCAATTCTGAGTTACGTACTTTAAAAAAGGCATCTAGACAGCTGGAAAGAAAATGGTGCTCCACTAACATCAAATAACTTTATCTAACTTGATGTGATAGCCTGCTAACATATAAGAAAACCCTCCATAAACCTAGAACTGTATATTAGTCATATTTATTAGATGAGAAGGTTTCTGTTCAGCACTAAAACTAGACTAATGAGAAGTTACATCTCTGTTGAACCATGTATCCCTACAACTATAAGCAGTGATGACTTCATGAGATTCTTTAAAAATAAAATGATTTCAGAGAGAAAATTCACATCATCTTTCCTACTATCGTCTCTGGTACCCTGTCAGATGAGGCAGCTTTGGAAATATTACTAGAATCTGATTTATGTTTGGACTGTTTTTGTCCTGTTGAGCTCTATGAGTTGTCAAAAATAACAGCTTTATGCAAACCATCAACGTCTGCTAGACATCCCATACCAACCAGACTGTTTAAAGAGATATTTCACCTAATTAACAACCCCATTTTGGATTTGCTTAATTTTGTCTCTTATGAATGGTTACGTACCACGGCGTTTTAAGCTTGCTGTAATTAAACCTTTACTTAAGAAATCTGATCTTGATTCAGGATTTCTGGCCAATTATAGTCCTATATCTAATCTAACATTCGTCAAAATAATTTGAGAGAAAATAGTTGCAAATCAGTTGTGTGAACATCTGAACAGAAATAATCTGTTTGAAGAGTTTCAGTGAGGGTTTAGAGCTCATCGTAGCACAGAAATGGCACTGCTGAAAGTTATTAATGGCATTTTCATGACTTCAACGAATTTTGTGTGTACGATGGTCCTGTTAGACCTCAGTGCAGCATTCGAAACAGTTGATCACAATATTCTACACAGAGGCTTGAATATGATATTCAAATCTTTTGTGTCTATTTATGTCAGGACTTGTAAAAATGATCAGCTGTGCATGTTTTTCAGTTGATAAAATAATCGTTTTTCAACATTTGAAAAGAAGAACGATGAATTGAGATTATTTAGAGTGAATACTGTGCAACCTGGAGGAAATATTTAAACAAAATGCGCCAAAACTGTGTTTGAGTTGTAAACGTCAGAGTTCAAAAATGAAAGTCATACCTTCTTTCACAATAAGTAAAGTTTCTCAAATGTTTGTTAGACAAGAGAAACACAAACAATACAGATCTAATGTCAGCCAAATACCCCCTAAACAGACATGAAAAACTTAGCCGTCATTAACAGGAAATGAACCATAACCCACCAAACAACGGAAGCTGGCATTTCAGTCGTGAATGAGGTTTAAATAAAATTTATTTAAACACAATAATATTTATTTTCAAATAATAAACTGTTTTGCTGCCCACTTATAATATTCTTTACCGATACAATGTCATCTCGTTTGAATCTATGAGGAAATACTGAACCTGAATGCATTTCATTAAACACAAACCGAGTGTAAAACTGTAGAATTTAACTTAGAAATGATGGACGGACACAAATCAAACTAAATGATAAAATACCAAAACCTAAATGTTTTTGTTTTTTACATTAGAAATGTAAAATGTTCTTACCTTGTCCCCGCCATTGTCCCTGTAAGTCTCAAATGTAAATGAAGAGACGCAGAGAGGCCTAACTCTTAAAGGAAGTAAGAGTCATCACGTGGTTTCTTCGTACTACCCGTGTCTCAAAGCAGAACTGCTGAAACCTCTTCATTTCCTGAAAAAGACACGTCTAACCTCAGTCTCCTGAGCCGGTTCCTTCTTCTGTGGGTCATAATTTACAGCCAGCAGACATAAACAACTTCTCAATTTGCACAATAGATTTTTGAAAAGAACCCTCTGGATTCAGTCTTGAGAGTAATTTACTAACGCAACCCTGAAAAGATCTCAGTACATGACGTTCAAGAATCGAAGAACAGAGAAAAAAAATCTATTACCATTACATAAAATGCATTGTCCACTCGCCCCATCCCTGACCTCAGCACTTCTAGTGGTTTGTTTTGTATATTCCAGGTTTATGTTCACTTGAGGCAATGGAGAAGTACCAATCTCTTGATAATCATTGCATATATATACTTAAAGTATATATTGGTAAAGTACATTTTACTTCAATATACTTAACAAAAAATACAGGTGACTAAAACGTGCCAAACAGACGTATGTGTGAAAGCTATGTGGTGACCAAAATGTGCCCACAGCAGCTTTCCATTTCTTCCATTCTCGGCCTGGCGGAAGGAAAATTTAATATTTTCTGATTGAATGTTGAATGGATGTGTAATATGGGATCATTGTCCTCAATAAATAAATGACCAAGTATATAATTTGTCTAATTTGTTTAACTGGGTTCTCTTTGTCTACTTTTAGGACTTGTGTGAAAATCTGACAATGTTTGAGGTCATATCTATGCAGAAATATAAGAAATTCAAAAGGGTTCACAAACTTTCAAGCGCTTCTGTACATTCCCATTAACAGTTTAATTTATTAATCCAAGTTGTGTTAAGATGAACACAATTCCCTTTGGTTTAGGCCACACTGAGGCTAAATTTTAGCTCTCTTTAGCTTTATCTCTTTAATTTTGGTGAACGTCTATAACTTATTAAAACAGATATCAGCTTTAAAAGCCCTGTGTTTTGAAGTTTCTAACTTAAGAAAAGTTCCTTTTGGATTACAAACCCTGTTCCAGAAGTAGTGGCCACTCAACACAAAGAAAGAAATGTAGAAATATTTCACAACAAAAACAAGGAGACAGAGTTCTGCAGGAGCTTGTGTGCTTTATTAGCTACAGATTAAAGGTAGAGGACGAGCCTCAGCCAGGACCTAAATAATCTGAAGAAACAAAACACACGTTGCATTAATTCATTAGCAGCCTTCTTTTAAAAGGAAGGAAGACTGAGGTTTGTCTCACTGAACTCTTCAGGAGTGATTGCATCATGGAGCAGGTCGGTGGTAACTGACTCCTTGTCTTTTATTCATCCTAATCTCCATTGGAAGGATAATTGGGGCAAATTAAGCCCAAGTTCGTTAGAAATTACTCAGTATAGTATACTGGACATTAAATTATGGCATCAAATTGCTTGAATGTACAAAATAATGAGTGTGGCTGCTTGTTAGTGAGTCTTTTATGCGATAGAGACTAGGAACAATTTCAACAATCTAAAATAGTCGTTAACGGTAGCCATGTGTTAGAAGGAGTTGCGTCGTGTCCTGAATCTTCTCACATCCACAGGTAGCAGAACAGCAGCGTATGAATAATAAAGTCTTACCAACGAGAACCAAACAATTAAATAACCGTTAAACAGCAACAAGAAACTAAATGCTACACATTGCACTAAGCCACATGGTGGAACAGCGGTCAGCTGGGCCTGTGGATGGGTCTCGCCCACTCTGGAGGGACGGTGGGCGGGCTTTTGTCTTTAAATTGCTTCCACATAGTTGGCCGGCAGCATGCCGGTCTTGCCGGTGCGCTGCACGGTGCCGTACATCCAGCCCTCGTCGATGGACTGCACGTTGACGATGACATCGCCGTCTTTGAATGACACCTCGTCGCTGTCCGCCGCAGCGTAGTCGTACATGGCCCGCACGGTTTTCTGAAGGCGAGGAGGAAAATCACAGACCATGTTTGCAACACGAGGGTTTGCAGGTTATTTTAAATGAACACACTCAGAAAGAAGTGAGCTCAAAGTTCACAGAAATGACCCACATGCGTACGTAATGAGGTAGTTTAGATCGTTTACAGTGAGGTTTTCTGGAACAGTCACAAACAATACTGGATCTTACCTTCTGTAGATAGTTCCGAGAACTACCTCCGTTTGGAAAAAACAGTTCAGCTGAGTAACAAGCAGCTACTTGTTAACAACTAGTCAGAGACCAAGATCTGAAGTGGATCACTGCCATCCTGATAGAACTTCAATCTCAACGTTACGTAGTTTGTCTAAATACAGTTATATAGTTTAGCTTTACAGAATACTTTCAGCAGAAATATTGCAAAGTTTCTGGAGAAAGTACTGGAAGAGCTACAACTGCTGCTGTTTGTGCTTGAAAATACTAAATAACCATGCAACCGTGAACATAGGGTCCCTCACGGTGCACTTGGGGTCACAGCTACTTGACTCTAGGAGCTGTGAGGTGAGACAAGGGTGTGTCCTGCAGGTGAAGGTTGTTGGCGTCTGGTCGAATCTTTCTCAGAGCCAGACTAAGAGGACCTGACTGTAGTACTGTTTGGGTAATACTCAGGAGACTAGGGAGGTCCAGTTACCCATTGGAGGGCTGGAAGGGTGTTACGCCCTGGGACCAAGACAAATTTAAAATGTAAAAGTGACAGCAATACAAAGTTGGAATATAAACACTGGTGTCAGAAACATTTGTAATGGGGGGCACTGGTGTGTGTGGGGGTGTGCTTTATTCAAATTTTGAATAAAGTAGATGCCATACCCTTCATTCTTGTTTATTTTAACTGAGTTTTAAACATCTACGTTTATCTACATAGGGAAACACTTAATTCAAGAACTATTTTAGAGAGCAACAAGAAGTAACCTGACCAACAGCTCTCCTTGTGTGAATAGAGCACGCTCCGCTTCTCTCAAGCATCCTAGCTAGCGCGTAAAACAGAGGTGTTGCCCCCTCCTCCCCCCCGTGAGTGCCCAGCCAAGTCAGATGACCAAAGAGAAACACTGCATGCTTTGTGGAGTTGTTGTAGGTAACCAGGAAAACCCGGAGTGGATTGTTAGTGGTTTGTGGAAAAGATTTATTCCTGACGAAATAGAAACAGCGCCAATATTTCATGATAAATGTTGGGGGAGGGGGGGCATATCCCCTTCACATATAATTGTTGCAACACCTATGAGTATAAAGAAGTTGTTTTAACGTTTGTTATAACGTATATGAATGTTTTGTACAGTGTCCTGGGACAACTTCCGTTGTGATGTGGCGCTTTATAAATAAACTGAACTGTTTTAAGATGGCAACAATCCACTTCTAAATATTTGAACTATCCCTTTAACTTCTTTTTTTCAATGATCAGTATCTTGAATGGTTCCCACAGTGATCAGGATGAATTTTCAATTTAAACTTAGGAGAAATATTTTCGAGTACAACTCCTTGTCACTTAGTCCTGATGCTCAATAATCCAGGTAGATGAACCTAACAAGGTGGAGTCAGGTCTTCTGGACGGATTCTTCTTTGCTGAAATGTTTTGTCTTTTATCCAAAAGTCTGAGGAACTGCAACAACCTCAGTCTTATACGTAGCACTTTATAGTGCACTGTGAAGACTTTTGGATAAAAGAGGAAACGTCACAGAAGAACGCGTCCAGAGGACCTGACTCAACCTTCTTAGACTCCATCCAGTTAATAAATAAATTCAGTTCTTTGCTCCGGAAGCTTTAGGATGATTCTAACAGATGGGAAGAAGATCCAGGAGACAATGTGTGTAATACGAGTGTGTGTTACTCACTCCGGTGGTGGAGGGGTGAGAGGGGACAGAGGAGACTGTAGTCTGCTGGGTGGCCACAGAAGACGACCTCTGCTGCACCTCCACAGTTTTAGCCTGCTGGTAGCCTGCACATGGTAGAAATGAAACACCCCCAGTAAGGCTTGTTACTGGCTCCATGGCATTTTGTTTGTGTTGTAATTCTGGAGGCTCACCCATAGAGCTCGTCATGAAGCCATTGCTGTAGAGGGACAGGTGGTGGTCAACATCCTGGGACAGCTCGGACTTCTCATCAGCCATGCCGCTCAATGCACTGGTGGAGCGGGAGTGCTCCTTGCTGCGACGCTGGGCTTGTACTGTCAGGAGGTCAAAAAAACGGAAATGTCTTATTGACGTTTTGTTTTATTCTTTCAGCTTTTCACTCTTCAGGGGTCGCCACAGCGAGTCCTCCTCCATCTCACTCTGTCCTCTGTGTCCTCTGTCCTCACTCCAGCTACCTCCATGTCCTCTCTAACTCCATCCTTATATCTCCTCTTTGTCTTTTTCCTGGCAGCTGCATTTCTAACATCCTTCTACCAATATACCAAATTTTCTACCAAAATAACACTGTCCCTCCTCTAACTTTATTTCTATACTTGATTTTATTTTTACATTTTATTTGGAGAAGCAAATGGTACATGACAAGTCTGTTCTGTATACAAATCAATTTCCTCCTCACAACTGTGAGTGAGGGACTAACATTTGTTAATCCAGTTTTTTTTTTTAAATAGGAAAAGGAAAGAGAGAAAAGAAAAGAAAAATAATGATAAACAAATATAACACATAAGTGGGTGTGTGGGAGAGAGCTACTCCAATTCTTATGTTTGGAGAAAATACCATCAAGCGAGTACATTTGCCAAAATCATAAACATGGATAGATTATGTAACATGGTGGTATTGTCTTGCTACAGACATATTTAATCCACGGGGATTACTGGTTTTACATAATTTGTCCACTTTGACCAAATCCTGAAAAAAGATTTCCTCTGACCTTTACCAGAGAACGACAACTTCTCAGTCATGTAAATGTCCTGTACAGTTTTTAACCATTCATCAATTGTAGGTGCTTCAGGATTGAACCATTTTCTAGCGATAATCTTCTCTCTTGCTGCCACAAGTATTAACAACAGTTTTTTATCCTTCAGAGTCCACTTATCAAATGAAATGTCTCCTAAGTACAAGGTTTCACATTTACAGGGGATTTTCACAGTAAAGATGTTAAGTGATCACATAACTGCTCCCAGAAAAGTTTAATCACTGGACAACCCCAGAAGATACGGTGGTGATTTCCTCCATTTGTTCCACAGAGTCTCCACTGCCCTCATGTTTTTGCTGAGCTGGAGTTACAAAGTATCGAACAGTGTTTTTCCAGCAGAATTCTCTCCATGTATTGGAGCTCGAGGTCATCCAGGGTCATCTGTTGATCCTTTCCCAGCTTTCAGATGTGATACTTAAATTTCCTTCTATTATCCACTTATTTCCGATATAGTATGTGTCACCTTGTTTAGACGATAGAAAACCATTATATAGTTTAGAAACAAGTTTTGTGCATGACTTTATACTTTATTTCTATACTTGATTTTTTTTTCCCCACAATAAAAAAACAACATAGGTCTGCATAGTTCAGTTTTTTTATAGTTTTAAAAGAATTGGTAAATGAAATACTATTTATTTTTCCCTTCTTTACAAGAATCTGGTCTTTTGTTTTAAATTGTAAAAATGTCAATAAATGTTAAAAATCATTAGATATTTTTAGCTTTATAATGTGAAGTCTACTGGTCACCAAAAGGTAAGGTAATGGCAGCTCTCTTCTGCAGGGGTCGCCACAAGTGAGCAAACACACACAAACTGTTGGCATTTGTTTTATGCCAGGTGTCCTTTCTGACACACCCTGGGCTCGAACATGCGGCCTCAGAATCACGAGACCACAGCACTGACCACCAAGCTACCACAACCCTTACATCTGATAATTGTTTGAGGATGAATAAATCCAGACTTATCAGACAATATGAATAGATTTCAGGTTTGTTCAGTTTGTTCGAGCTAAAGCTCACCTGACATCATGTGCAGACTCCTGGACTGGATGTTGTCCTCAGCAGGGTCGTAGTCAAACACAGAGCCGGGGTTTGTGCGCCACACACGCAGATCTGAAGATTTAGAATAAATCAATTGATCAGACCAAGACAAATGATCAGAGAATGATTCACGTGGTCACAGAGAGCCAATGTTTTTCTGTCCAGTTTAAAATTCTGTATTTCAATGGGACATGTTGATGCATTTGTGTTGATTGAATCATTTTATGCACAAATACATTTTTGTTGTTTTAATTTAATTTAAATAGCTTTTTATTTGTATCTGTTGCCTTGTTTCAAACTGAATAGTTTCAGTTTTATACTGATGTCTGCATTTTTGTTGTTAAGGCAGAACTGTGTGGCTGCTGGTGACGGTACCAGTGGTCGTCTCCTGGTCGTGCTCCATGGCGCGCCTCCTCTCCATCTCCACCACGCGCCTCTGGATGCCACGGTAGCTGATGTCACTGAAGTCCTGCGTGTTTCTCTTCACACGCTCCGTCACGGGGTCGGAGGTTGTGGGAGTGAAGCTGCCCTTGCTCTTCTCAAAGTCTTCGTGGTATTTCACCTAAAAAAATTCAAACCTCGGTAAGGTGCTACGTCAAAGAAAAATATTGAAGTTGTTTTTTTGCTTATGTAATTAACCCAGAGTTTATTATATGTGCCATTGATAAAAAAAATCTCACCTGAAATACAATAATTTAAAACTTAAAACTAGTGGTTCCAACACTGGTCCTTGAGGAACACCATCCTGCATGTTTTAGTCGTTTCCCTGCTCCAGCACGCCTAATTCAGTGATTTAATGACTTCCTCAAGTTCTGCAGAAGCCTGTTAATCACCCATTCATTCAAATCAGGTGTGTCAAAGCAGAGAAACAACTAAAACATGCAGGATGGTGTTCCTCAAGGACCAGTGTTGGGAACCACTGGCTTAAACAGCAAAAACAGGAGCGAAGCTGAATATACGCCTTTATACGGTAAAGCATAAAATGTGTAAATGGACTGTACTTGTATAGCCCCTTTCTATCTTATCAAGACACTCAAAGCTCTTTACAACAATCTGTGCCTCATTTACCCGTTCATACAGCTCTATCCTAGATCTCTACAAAGAATAATCAGAGCTTTATCACATTCATACACTGATGGGACACAAATCAGAGGCAATGAGGGGTTCAGTGTCAGCATGTGACTGATGGTGGAATCAAACCCCCAACTCTCCCATTGTAGGATGACTGCTCTAACCACTCAGCCACAGCTGCCCCTGCATGACTTTTAAAATCCAAATAATCTCATTTAAATGTACTTTTATTTACAATTGAATAATTCGTGACGGATTCCAAACTCACCCCAGAAATGATCCTCTGAGTCTCCCTGACGCGCCTCATCTCAGGTGTGTCCAGAACGAAGGCGGCCTTGCCCTGCACCTGCCTACGGAAGCTGTCGGAGTACAGCACCTGGGGAGGAGGAACCCACGACAGACAATCAACATCTGAAGCTGTCAAAGTTCACAGCCACCGTCCAGTAGCTGCTAGCACAAAGAGAGAAATATGAACACGGAAAGCTGCTGGCGCAACAATGGGATGAGACAAATAAATGAACAAGACGTTTTAAAATGATTATTATTAAGAGGTTGAAGAGTTAGACGACACAGAGTTATGTTCCAGTCTTCAGAAGCAGAACAACAGGGGGACAGATGATCTAGAGCAGTCTGAAGAACAGAAGAGGTTAGCCGATAAGATGGAGCGCCAAAACGTGGGATTAAACATGACTTTTTTTTTAACAAGAGTGCACTCAGGATAATTAATACGATTAAGAAGAGCAGAGATCAGGTACGTTAGAAGAAGGTTAAAGGCGGGAAAATGAAACTTTTCTCAGGAGGAACATGTTCTTGTAGCGGTTCGGGAGGTACCGAGCTAATGTTTTCTTGGTTCCTTTTGACTCGCTCCATCTCTGGAGTAAACACCACCGGGGTTCCCTTGACTGAACTGTCCTTATACAACACCTAGAGGACAGAAAGACAGCGCCCCCAAGGGACAGTGAGACACTTAAAACTGTCAGGACCACACATTTATTTTATCTTTGGTTTCTCTTGAGACAATAAGACGTCTGATGAAGGAATCTTACATCCTGGTAGTTCCTATTGAACAGCCAGGGACAAACGGGGAGACAAACATTTCTCACAGCTCAGCAGAAGATTAATCACTTGCTGGAAAGTTGAAATTGAGTTAGCAGAATGTGGGCTGTGGGTTAGAGAAGATTACAGATGGGTAAAGATTTAAAATGTACTGGGAGAGAAAGAGGGATTACAATGAGGGCAGAATAGTGATGGAAGTGGGGGGATCTCAGGAAACTGCAGTCTGAGCCTTAAATAAAGATGAAGATGAGGCAGAGATGATTAATGTGAGAAATAGCAGAAAAGAGGGACTCAGAGAGGCTTTGTGTCCACTCTCAAAGGTTAGGAGCACACGAGGTTCGGCTCTGTTCCACTACCGAGCTGATGTGCTTCTGGGTTTCTCTGACCCGCTTCACCTCTGGTAGGTCCGGTATTGCTGTGCCTCGACCCAAAGAGTCCTTGTATTTTATCTGGCAAACAAAAATTTAAGTGTTTTTGCAGAGAAAATTGAAAAACAAAATTAAGAGGGAGATCAGTAGTAGAACTTTACTGAAGATCAAAAATAGAAAGCACTGCACAAATAATACAGCAAGCAAACAAACAACACGAAACACACTCTTCTCCTGAGAAAACGAGAAATGCGTGACGTTACACAAACACTAGTTCACCCCCAGGTTCACCGCTGTAGTAAGGGATGGATCAAAAGTGAAGGTTTTAGCATCTAAATAAATGGTGGGGCTCAGATTTGTTACAAACGTGAAACAGAGGATGAGTGTGAGTCAAACTACAGGGAAGGAGAATACAGGCTCGCTGCAGAAAAGTACCGTGCTAATATTTTGCTGATTGCGTTTAACCCTCTCCATCTCTGGGGTCTCTGACACTGACGTGCCGTGTCCCACTCCTTCTTTGTATTGACGCTACAGCACAAAAACAGTCGTATTCAGTATTGGCGCACTCATCAGTTCTCACTTAAGAAGAGAGGAACACAGGAATAAAAAAACTAAAAGACCCACTAAATGAATAAGAAAAAGGGGAAATGAAATTATGCTTGGATTAAAAAAACGGTATCTAAGAACTAATTCTGCAAAACAGAGGGGATGTTTAATGGAAATCGGTTAAAATTAATGAGGAGAAAATCAACACTCAAAGCCAGAAAGTGTTTTTTTTTTTAGTTTAGAAGAATTTGGAAGAGGGTTTTAAGGATGAAGGTCACTGCAGAAAAGTACCGTGCTAATATTTTGCTGATTGCGTTTAACCCTCTCCATCTCTGGGGTCTCTGACACTGACGT